GGAGGGAGGATGGGTCCCAGCCACGGAGGGCTTGAGAACACAGGCACTGGAGTCCAACAGACCTGCGTTCAAATCCTGGCACCACCCTTTGCTAGCTGTGTGGCCTTAGGCCAGTAACTTTCCTGAGACTCAGTTTCTCCATCTGTAAAATGGGGATAAGAGCAGTTCCTATGTTCTAGGTGGCTGTGGGGATTAAAGGAATAATGATTGTTTGTGGCTGCACTCAGTGCTGGCCACACAGCAGACACTCAATAAACGAGAGTGAAGGTGAGCCTGATGAGTATTCCAACAAAAGCAAGATCAACACTGAAACGATGATAACGGGAATAAACCACCTAACGTGTATTAACCCATTTGATGTTCACACGTGAACATAGGTAGATTCTATCCCTATGCTACAGATGAGGAAATGAAAGCACAGAGAGGGAGAATTACTTGCTCAAGGTCACACAGCTAAAAAGTGGCAGACCTGGGATTCAAACCCAGACAGCCTGGTTCCAGAAACTATACTCTCAACCTCTACCTGCTACAGCTCACTACAAAGCATATTCACAGTTTGGAGAGGAGTGACTGCCCCATTTTTTGGATAATAAAGCCGAAATTCAGAGAGGTACAGTGACTTATTCAATGCCACAGAGCTATGAGGTGGGAGATCTGGTTCAAGGCTGTGCTCTTAACCACTCTCTTCCCAGATCTTCTCCAGTACAACAGAGGAGGCTCAGAGAGGCACCCTGACTTGCCCAAGGCCACACAGCTTGGAGGGGCAGAGCCGACCTTCCCACTGAGCGTCTCTGACTCCGGGATCAGGGGTCTGAGCGGAAGGTGGGGGCTCCACTCACTTGGACAGGGAGACGCCGCCGGGCTTGCCGATGAGGTCCTCATGGTGCAGGACGGCGTCGCTCCAGGAGATGCCGAGGAAGTCGAGGATGAGCTTGAGGGAGCGCCGGGGGTGCAGTACCAGCTGCTCGTAGTACACGGGCAGGCACTTGTCCTCGCCCACTTCCATGCACTGGGCGTACATCACCTCAATGGCCTTGTTCCACTTGGCAAGGCAGTCACGGTAGCTGCTGAGGTCGAAGCCGGCGATGGTGACCTTGCGGGTGATCATGGAGTGCACGGAGGCCCGGCCGTCCCGCACCATCAGCAGGAACTTGGAGTTGGGGAACAGGCGCGACAGGTAGACAGAGGACTTGAGCGTGAAGGGGTCTTTGTTGCAGAGGACGCGGGCCGGCTCTCCGTGCTTGGCGATCACCTCCAGGATGAAGGCCTGCATGGCGGCGTCCAGCACCTCGTCTGTCACACCCGCCTCGTCCAGCCGCAGCTTCTCCCGGCCCGACTTGGACCAGGCCTGGCGCATGGCCAGCACGCGGGGGATGATGCGGGTCTCCTCCCCGCAGCGCACCTCGGGGTGGGCGTCCAGCATCGCACGCATGAGCGTGGTGCCACTCCGGGGCACGCCCCCCACGAAGATGAGCGGCATGGCCTTGCCATAGCGGTACTCCACGTGGTCCGTGCCCACCATCACCAGGTCCTCCTGCTCTGGCCGCATGGCCCGCCGGGGGCCCCGGGGGCCCCCCAGTGCCACCCGGCACTCCAGCACCTGCTGCCCCAGCTGGACCGCCAGCACCAGGGCCAGGGCGAAGCCGGCTGCCAGCAGTGCCCTCCGCACCGACAGGCGCATGCTGGGCCCGGGGCGGGGGGCGCGCTTCAGCGACAGGTGGGCGGGAGCCCCGCCGGGCTCACATCTGGGGAGAGAGAGGGACACGGGCGGTCAGGGAGGCCTGCGGGCTGCAGGTGCTTTACCATCCAGACCCCAAGAGCGGCAAGTGTGAGGGTGCTGACGTTCAGAGCAGAACGCTGCGGGGCACTGCATCCATCTTAATTCATGAGATCCTCCAACAACCGTAAACGTAGCTGCTACTATTACCTCAGGGGGCCCGATGGCCTGGGTTCAAATCCCTCCTGGCTACTTCCTAGCTGTGAGATCTTGCCCAGTTCCTTAACCACTCAATGCCTCAGTTTCCCCAACTGATAAATGGAAAGAGTAATAATTCTTTCAAAAATGGACTTTCTTGAAATACATTTATGTGAAATTCTTTGAAATGTGAAAATAATAAAGCACTAGAACCTCAGATTTCAGCAGCACACTCGTTTGATAAAGACATGGGTTTTGCCTGTTTTGTTCACGGCTGTCTCCCCAGCTCCTAGCACGGTGCCTGGCCCCTAGTAGATGCTTAACAAATATTTACAGAACGTGCTTGGGTCCAATGAGCGGGGCCTGGCCCAGAGTAAGTGCTAGGAAATGATTATGGTACAGCGAGGAGGGAACCAAGGTACAGAGCGACTGTTCACCGTTGTCCAGCTGGAAAGCGGCCAAGCCAGGGTCCATGATTTTGACCCAGGCCAGCAGGCTCACCAGCCGGCTCTGTGTCTGCTCTGAGTGACCACAGTCTGCCTCTGCAGGAGAGGCTTTTCAGAAGGTGCAAAATATCCTGGTCTGGGCTTCTTCCAGAATCGCCGTCCGTTCGTTCAGCCTTCACTCGGAAGCAATAAAAAGGTTTCAGGCACCCGCTCGAGGCTGGAGACAGGACAGTGGACGAGACAGCCCGGCCTCTGGCCTCAAGGAGCTTACAACTGAGTGGGGGATGTGGACGGTACACAAGCTACCGCCAGACCGTGATAATGGCTTGCAAAGAAATAAGCTGGACACCGTGAGAGAGATCAAGAAGGGGAAGGAAGAGGGAGGTTAAGGAGGACTTCTTGGAGGAGGTGACGTCCAAGCTGAGACCTGGATGAGAGGGAGCTGGCAGTGTGAAAATGTGTGGGAAGGGTGCTCCAGGCAGAGGGAACGGAGAGTGCAAAACCCCAAGATGGGAGAGAGAGGGTTTGGTGTGTTCAAGAACCTGAGAGGAGGCTTCTGGGGCTGGAGGGGAGGGAAGGGGAAGATGGGGTGCAGCTGCCAGGCATGTCCTCAGGGGATGGGGAAGGAGCTGGACTTACTCTACGGGCAGCCCCTGGGGAGAGGGCCTGCAGGGGTGGGAACGGAGGCGGGGAGGTCAGTCAGGAGGCTCCTGCCCGTGTCCTGTGGAGACTTGGGGATGCTCAGACTGGGGGGGTGACGTGCGAACAGGGGGAGGGGATGACTTACGACATGAATTATGACCCTGAGCCTAGCTCCTCACCCCTCCCAAATGTCACTAATAAAGGTGATGAGACCTCAATGCCAATTCTTTAGGTAGGGGCTGTTTTCAAAGAGCAGGGGTCCACCCAGCCCAGCCACCCCTTCTCTAGTCACTCAAATGCCAGATCTATCCTCCTCCCCAATTCACCCTCAAGGCCCTTTGATTACGCAACCTCAGCCCAACGCAAAAGGTGCAGACCCAGATGCTGGTCAGACAGCCCACCTCCGACCACCCAGCCCTTCTCTGCCTCACCCCCGCTGTGTTTCAGAACCTTCGTTTCCTCTCTCACCTCTTTCTAGAATCCAAGTGAGGGCCTGAGGTCTCTGGGCATTCAAGGAGTCAGACAGACCTGGGTTCAAATCCCAGCTCTGCCATTTCCTGTGTGGCTGTGTGAGCTTGGGCCACAGACTTCACTTCTCTGAGCCTCATCTGTAAAATGGGTCTAAGAGTGTCCACCTCAAAGGGCTATTATGAACATTAAATGACCCCCTTTAAGAACTTAAGAATGTGCCCGGCACATTGGGAGCATTTGAAAGAATATTAGCCATGATCACTGACTGGTTATTCATTTACCCCAACATTTCATGAGTTCCTACTGTGTGCGGGAGTTGGGCTATGGAGTTAAGAGACACAGCCTCAGCCCCCCGAGTCCACTCATACTGTGGACCCACACTAGGGAGGGGGTGACAGGTTCGACCTGTGTAGGTGAGGGAAGGCTTCCTGTAGGAGGCAGCCCTTGTGCCGAGTTCTAAGCAGTGGACAGGGAAGTTTTGAACAGCCAGGTGGAGAAGAGAGAGAAGGGAGTTCCTGGCAAAGGGAACAGCCAGTGCAAAGTAACAGGCAGGAAAGAGCCCAGCATGCTGGGGGGTTTCAGGTGGCTTGGCGAATGGGACAGGGTCTGAAGGGAAAGGAGTGGGAGGTGGCTTTCTTCTTTGGATGGGAGGTTCACCGGAAACCACTACAGGACCCGGTTGGCAGCTGGACCAATCCACCCACGAGGGCCTGGGCTGCCTGGGGCCCCTCAGGCCATAGCAAGTGGAAAATAAACATCAAAGCTGAAGAAGCACACAGCCTCGGGGCCTGGGGTCGAAACTGCTAAGAGGCCCTGGCATTTCCTGGCCATGTGTCTTTGGGAGAGTCACTTCCTCCATCTAAGCCACAGTTTCCTCAGCTACAAAGACGGGTGGGTCCACTGACCTCAAAGGCTGCTGTGAGGATTCTAGAAGCAACTGACAAAGCAAAGATGAGTCTCATCCGGGGGTTGCTGGCTTCTCTGAGCATCAGAAAATAGCTGGGGACCCTCTCCCCAGAAACCTGAGCCTCTCATATGCTGCTGAAACTGTTGGCAGTTAATGTGTACACTGGATTCATGTCTGGCATGGGGAAATCTAATTCCAGGGCTACTTTCAGCGGGGAAGCAGGCTGGACAGGACACAAAGTCCCTCAGAAATCCCTCTGTGGAGCTCTCGGCTTCTTTAAATGCTCACTGAAATTCTCCCCTTAGACCTGAGAGTAGAATTCTGCCAATGATTATTATTTCAGTGTCAAAAGCCTGGGGGACTGTCAATCACACTTGAGCTTGAATTAGTACAATCACCCTTTCTTCCTGACACTTGGTGGGGCGTGAGAGACTGAAGCTTTGGGGAACAGATGGCGATGGGGGATGCAGAGAAAGGGAGAAAAGGGGATAATTTGGGAAAGTGGTTTCCAAAAAGGATAGACACAGTGTGCCTGCCCGTGTGTGTGTGTGTGTGTGTGTGTGTGTGTGTGTGTTTATGTACTCTTCGAGCTTCTGTTTGGGGTTGGAAGTGACTTGGATACTAAATACCAGGGGAAAAGGCCTGGAAGAAGGGATAGACAGAATTTTTTTAAATGTTATCAACTCATGAGTTTTGCTTAATACAGAGCATTCATCTGGCTACAGCACTTCAAAACAAAGCAGTGAGTTATGTGTTTTTACATTGACTGAGCACGTCCTCTGCTAAAGCTTATTCCATGCCTCACGTAGCGGGAGCAGCTCAGAGAGAAGAGGCAACTTGCTCGAGAAGGATGGCATGGCTGGAGTGGCAGGCCTGGGTCAGACCAGGCTGAGGCTGAGCTGTTCACTTTCCTTGGACAGCACCCAGCGAAGGGCTCATCTCAGTCGCCAGGAGAAAACAGCTCAAAGCGGGCAAGTCAGCCGTGAGGAGGAGACTGCACAGACCTGGAGGATGGCTTGAGAAGCAAAGGCAGGGCCACGTGGCAGAGGGAAAGCAGCTGGGAGCCTACGAAGCAGAAGGTGGCTTCCTGACCACCCAGAATCAGAGACTCCGCCCATTCCAGGAAGGGCCAGAGGGCCCAGCCCAGGGACTCCGGCCTGCCCTCCGTCCCCACCACCCTGTTGGACCCTGTTGAGGGAGGTGTCTCGGCATCCTGGCAGTGAGGATGGTGGCTAAGACCCTCAGACTTGGAGTCTTACAGCCCCAGGTTCAAATCCAGCCCCTGCCACTTGCCAGCTGGAGAGCCGGACAAGGGACTTCGCCTCTCTGAGCTTCTGTTTTCTCCTCCCAAAAAAGGGGGGATGATAAGAAGCTTTTCTCAGGGAGCTATTATGAGGTTCAGGGAGCTTTTGTGTGAAGGGCAAAGCAAGCACGCCAAGAACACTGAGGCTGGAAGGTGGCACGCAGAGGGCTGGATTCTGGCCGTGCTTGAATCTGCCCACTAATGCCGGGTAAGTCCTGCCTGCTCGGGGACTCAGCCTTCTCCCATCACCAGGAGAATCACTTTCCTAAGGGGTGAGGAAGAACAGAGGCCTGCCCTCTCCACGCTGCTGGGATCCAGCTTTGTCTGGATTTCTAACAGAGGAGAGAGCTGCCTGGGGGAGTTTGCTCGGCTGCCCAATCAGGAGGCTGGGGGCTGTCCCTGGAGAAGCCGGGTCTCTGGGGGACGTTCGGGAAGCACTTACCTCCCCTGGACACTATCATCCCTGGGATCTAGCCCTCGTGGCTGCTTGCTAAGACTCTCCACGGGTTGAGCCCTGCAGAGGCAGAAGAGATGCTGCATTAGGTGCATTAGGGGTGGGTGCTATGGAGAGGGGCTGGGCCCCCTCGGAGGGGCAGAAGGGGATGCTGGGCTTCCCAAGGGTGCCCGACAGTGACTCTGGGAGACAAGTGGCAAGGCAGGGACAGGCCACCTCCGCCCAAGATGTTGAAGCTGGGGTCTAAATTCACTGACTCAGCCAGGGAGTGAACTGGCCCACTTCTCAGGCGGAGGGGTGTCAGCTGAGAACCTAAGCTAAGGCACTGCTGCCTTAGGAAGTAATGGGTCTCTTACAACTGGGCTCTCCCTTCTTGGCCCAGGGACCTTGGGCTTCAGGAAAAGTAAATATAACAAGAAGCAACAACCACCACCACTGTACCACGAATCACCATCTGAAATTGCTGGGTATGGTTGAACAGGCTGTGCACTGCTCAACTCCAAAGGGCACTGCGTACCCAGCCTATGACAAATATGGCGCCCCCTGGAGTTGGACAATGCCGTGCTGCCACTGCCACCTAACACTGACCAAATGCCTGCTGTGAGTGCCTTGTGCCATTTAATCCCCCAACGAGGAAAGTACGATACTCCCAATTTTACAGGTGAGGAAATGACACCAAGAGGAAGAGCAATTGACCCGGGGAACCAGGATCGCCATCCACATCTGTGAGACTCTGACGCCCAGCTCTTAACCACTGCATTAAAGGAATGGGCTGTGAACTCGTGGGGTCTGGCATGAAGCCTGGCTGATGTGGAACCAAGGGGATCTTGGTGTACATGTCACTACTATGTCCTTACCATTTACTGGGGGAGGGGGTGGGTGGCAGATTTTTAGTCCAATTCTCGCCTTCTCCCATTTTACAGATGTGAAAATTGAGGTTTGGGAGCAAAAATCTCTTCACAGAGTCACAGAGTCAGGCTCATCTTCCCTCTGCTTAGTCCCAGCCCAAGAGGTGGGGTAGGGGGGTTTAAGGATGCAGCTCTGGAGTTGGATGATTCCCTGACTAGGTAGATTGTTGTTCTTCCGAGCCTCGGTTTTCCTATGCTGTAAAATGGGCTATCGGGAGGTTTAAACAAGACAATAGCAAATACTCAAAACTCTCAGCAATTATTTTATTTGTGCCATGATGCAAATACATTGGGCGTAGGACCATTTTTGGGGTCCTCTTTCCCTTCCTATTCGCTCTCTCCTTGCCTCCATACAGTTTTTTTTCCTCTCCCTGAAATACCAGGGATTAGTATATTTAACCCCAGGAGGAGAAGGGTTCCCAGACCCTCCCCCTCCTCCCAGCTACAGAATACACAGGCTTGGCATTCTCAGGGCACATGGGTGGCCAGTGAAGAGAAGCCTGGTTCTTGGAATAACAACAACAAACACAATTAGGGACCAGGGCCCTTGAAGCTTTTCCGGAGACGAGATGGCTCAGGCCCAGCTGCCCTCAGGCGGCCCTTGAAATGCCAGAGAGTTCAAGAGGCCTGCCAGGCGGGCAGCTCCCACGGCCCCTTTCAGGGCGGTGAAACGGGGCTGTCAGAGCCTTCAGTCACTCAGAACTGCAACGCCAAGACTCCGACATGACGCTTTAGCCACAGGTCAGTATTTAAATTTAAATTAAGTAAAATGGGGACCTCCCTGGTGGCGCAGTGGTTAAGAATCCACCTTCCAATGCAGGGGACATGAGTTCGAGCCCTGGTCCAGGAAGATCCCACATGCCACGGAGCAACTAAGCCCGTGCGCCACAACTACTGAGCCTGCACTCAAGAGCCTGCGAGCCATAACTACTGAGCCCACGTGCCACAACTACTGAAGCCCACGCATCTAGAGCCCGTGCTCCACAACAAGAGAAGCCACCGCAATGAGAAGCCCATGCACCTCAATGAAGAGTAGCCCGCGCTCGCCGCAACTAGAGTAAGCCGGTGCACAGCAACGAAGACCCAACGCAGCCAAAATAAAATAAAATAATTTAAAATAAATAAATAAAGTAAAATTAAATAAAATTTTAAATCCAGCTCCTCATTGGCACTAGTCACAATTCAACAGCCCAGTGGCCCCCTGGGGGCTACCATACTGGGCAGAGCAGATTTAGGATGGAGTCCTCACATGATGGCCCTTGGGCCAAATCCACCCCTCAGCCTGTTTTGTAAGGCCTGTAAGCTAAGAATGACTTTTACATATTTTTTTTTTTTTAAGGGAAAGAGGAGGAAGAGGATGCAGGGCGGGGCTGGGGGGAGGGGGAGGGGGAAGCAGCAGCAATAAGAAAAATTCTACGTGTTCCGCAAAACCTGAAATATTTACTATCTGGTCATTTATAGAAAAAGTCTTCAGGCCCCTGATCTAGAATATTCCCATCATTCACACAAAGTTCTACTGGACAACGCAGACTTGGAAGACACATGAGAGGCATGGGGAGGGGTCACTGAGCCCTCCTTTTCTTGCAGGAGGAACATCAGCATTTATTAAGCACCACTGTATATTTAACACCTGACCAAGGGAGTTCCACACCGCTACCTCATTTTATCCTCACAATAACTCAATGGCAGGGCGGAGGGGGGAGGGGGCGCCTTGGTTCTCCGATTTACGGATGACAAAGGCCCATGGGGGTTCAGGGTAAGCATGACTGTGCCAAAAAGCGAAACCACCAAGTCAACCGAACCAACCAGCAAACACAAACCCCATGTACGAAAAATGAGACGGGAACAGACTCAAAATGCCACAGGGGTGGTAGGTGATAATATTTTTCTCCTAAAAACACATGGTGCTGGGCTTCCCAGGTGGAGCAGTGGTTAAGAATCTGCCTGCCAATGCAGTAGACCTGGGTTCAAGCCCTGGTCTGGGAAGATCCCACATGTGGTGGAGCAACTAAGCCCGTGAGCCACAACTACTGAGCCTGTGCTCTAGAGCCCGCGAACCACAACTGCTGAAGCCTGCGTGCCTAAAGCCCGTGCTCCGCAACAAGAGAAGCCACCATAAAGAGAAGCCCGCGCACCGCAACGAAGAGTAGCCCCCGCTTGCAGCAACTAGAGAAAAGCCCCTGCGCAGCAACAAAAACCCAACGCAGCCAAAAATAAATAAATAAATAAATTTATTTTTAAAAAAAACAAACAAAAAGAACACATGGTGTTGTTATATTACCTTGATCTATATAATAATAAAATGGCTAATATTTTTTGAATTGTATGCCAGCCATAGTAGGGGGTCAGACTGCTTGGGCTCAAATCCTGGCTCCACCAGCTACTGGCTGTGTGATCTTGGCAAGTCACTTAACCGCTCTGAGCCTCAGTTTCCTTCTGTACAATGGAGATGACAACAATAACTCCTAGGAGGCTCATGTACGGCCCCAGGGCACTAGAAATGTGGCCAGTGTAAATGTGGGACTAGCCTCATATGAGTATTGGGAAGTATAAATGTTAGAACGTGTTAGAACAGAACCTGGCACATAGCAAGTGTGCCTTACTAAGAGGGAAACCCAGTTTCCAAATCTGGTTCTGTCTTAACAATAACATCCTTGGTCTCGTGTCACATGGCTCATAAAATGGGGGCAGCAGGAGAGGATGGGAGAGGACTTCGCTCCCTTCCCACTGACCCATGGGCTGCCCTGAATGACCACTGGAAGGAAGGGGAGGGGAGGGGGGCTTGTCAGTCTTCAAGATGCTCTTAGGCCGGATTCATTCATTCCCCAAATGTTTACTGAGCACGTACTATGCTTGGAAGTAGATGCTGGAACACCTCAAGGGCGGCACACCAAGGCCTCTGCCCTTAACGGAGATGATGTTCTAGTGGGGATCCAGGAAACCAGCACATCAGATAATCACGACTGTGATTGTGTAATGCCCTCCGTGGGAGGGGAAGACATGCCCTAAGGGGTCAGACTCATTTGAACTTTCCAATTCTGCATGATTTCTCCAAGCTCGGCAGATCAAGAGGTTCCCAAGAACCTCTTGAGCATAAGAAGCACCATGGGGTGGCTCAAGAGGAAAGAAGAAAAGCCAGGCTGGAGCGCGGCCTTAGAAATATCAGCTCATACTTACCAAGCACTTTCTGTGCACCAGGTACTGAACTAAGGGTTTTACATATATCACGGAATTTTGTCCTCACTACCCTGTCCATGATCCCATCTGACTCTCCCTTATTAACCATCTCTTTTTTTTTTTTGCGGTACGCGGGCCTCTCACTGCTGTGGCCTCTCCCGCTGTGGAGCACAGGCTCCGGATGTGCAGGCTCAGCGGCCATGGCTCACGGGCCCAGCCGCTCCACGGCATGTGGGATCTTCCCGGACCGGGGCACGAACCCGTGTCCCCTGCATCGGTAGGCGGACTCTCAACCACTGCACCACCAGGGAAGCCCCCTTATTAACCATCTCTTTACTGGGGCTCAGAGAAGTAGGTTCACCTGCCCAAGGCCACACAGCTGGTAAGCAGGGGAGTAAAAGGAAAACCCAAATCTTCCTCTCTCTCCATAGCCCATGCTCCTAGATCTCTCCTTCCTGATGAGCTTTGCATTTTTTTTTTAACCTAAAATGATCAAAGCTGGACCCCCACGTGCCACCCTGCCTCCCTCTCAGAGGCCCAGTTCAGCACCCTGTTGGCACAAGCTCAGGGTAGGGAGTGATGAGGGCGGAGGTTACTTCTTGTACTCAGAGGCTGGGTGTCCTGCGTCAATCCAGCTCTCCAAACCTCAGTGTTGCCATCTGAGAAATGGGAGTAACACTTGGGACAAATAGAGTCATGAGGAATTCCATAACTTCATTGTGCCCAGCACGGACGTGCAGAAATGTCAGCACTGAATATTATGATCATTGTCATCACAGCACGCGGATGAAGACTGGAAGGAACCCGAAGACGAAGAAGCCAGTGGCCCGGTGAGGCAGGGTTGGCAAACTTCTGTGAAGGGCCAGGAAGCCAATGATTTTGGCCCCGTGGGTCAGAGGGTCTGTGACAGCTACCCACTCTGCCTCTGCACCGTGAAAGCAGCCAGAAACAGCACATCCAGTAACACACACGGCTGGATTCCAGCGAGACTATTAACGAAATCAGGCGGCAGCCTCGATGCGTCCCTCAGGCCATCGTGGGCCAGGCCCCTGCTCTGTATGAGCTCCCAGGGGAACTAGGACAAACTCACAAAACGCAAATGCCGTGAGTGACCGTGGAAGCCGGTGCATATTCGGGTTCTGGGCCCAATCTCAGAAGGCCTAGTGGGAGGACTCAGGCAGCCGGCCTCTGGTGAGAAAAATGGACAACTTGGGAAAATATTTGATATTTTTTAGAAAAAGAAATGCATGTGTGCACACAGAATCGTCCGGTGTCTGGCCTGTTGCCAAGTAAAGATTTAAGCAGAGACTTGTGTGTGCCTGGCACTTTGCCTCTAACAACCCGGGGAGTAGGGCGAGGCACGCTTATTAGCCCCGTTTGACAGAGGCGGAAGCTGAGGCTCAGAGAGGTGAAGCGTGCAGCCCGAGGTCACACAGATAGGAACGGTCTGAGCCTGAAGTGGAACCCAGCTCGGTCTGATGCCAGAGGCCAAGCTTTTAACCATCACCCCCAAACCTCTACCCTGCCCAACTCACGGATGGGGGCGATGCATGTCCAAGGTCATGCAGCTGCCCGGGGCAGTAACCAGCTCAGCCTCTTGGCTCCCATGTCCCAGCCTTGCCCCCAGTGCCTGGTGCAGCCCTCCCTCTGGGCTTCCTGTTCGGGAACACACGGGCCCCTGCCTGATCAAGAGTATAAACAGGAAAAGGCCAGGGTGACCTTGCAAGGCCCGGGCTTCCTTCACTCACGCCACACACACACACACACACACACACACACACACACACACGACCTGTCTCCATTCCCCTGTCTAGAAGCTTCCAGAAGTAGGGGTTGGGGGGTGGGATGAGCACTGTAGTGGGAGTTGTACACACTGGGCTTGGAGTCCGGTTCTGGTGGTTACTAGCAATGCAGCCTTGGTTGGAGCAGGGGAGGTAAACAGCGATGTTACCTAACTCCTCTGTGCCTCAGTTTTCTCATCTGTGGGTGCTAACGTGAACTGATAGCGCTCAGAGCTTTGTTACTGTATCACTGTTATTTCTCCCCTTTAAGGTGGTTTGAAACCTCTGCGTGCATCAGAATCACCTGAAATTCTTAAAAGGCAGATTCCTGGGTCCTGCCCCCAAATATTCTGATTTGGAAGTTCCCCGACGGAGCCCAGGGATCTGCATTTACCGAGCGCTGCCCCTCCCCCTGAGCTATGAAACACTGTGTGGGGCACTGAATTCAGCATTTGAGGGCTATGTACTGGCCAGGCTTGGGGACTGCAGTGGTCCCAGCATGGAGGCCAAGAGCCGGACAGGCCCAGGTGCAATCTGGGCTCACCCACCCACTAGCTGTGTGACCCTGAGCCAGCGACTTCTCCTTTCTGGGTCTTACTTGCCTCCTCTCCAGAATAAGGGTGCAAAGCGCACCCGCCTGGTGGGCTGTCGTGAGGCTGGCACACCGCGTGAGCTTAAGTGACATCGTTTCTTAGGAGAGACACAGGTCTGCCAGTGAGGAGTGTCAGGGCAACAGACACAGGACAGACAGACAAGCCACCCAGAGGGGGATGGACCCCAGGACAGGGAGCGTGCACATCCGGGTGCTAGAGCTCCCAGGGCCACACCCAACGGTCAGCCGGACGGAACCCGCACAGGGCAGCGTCCAGCACCATCACTGACTCTCCCACAACCCGGAGGGAGAAAGCACCTC